TTCAGCAGCGCATCGCAGATGTTAATTCGGTCTATCATGTTTTTCACGCTCAACTCATGAGTAACCCATACATCGAGCTTCTTTTTGTAGCCAGCTTTGTGCAAATGGTTCAAAATAGTTTTGTGGTCAATGCCTAGCTTCATACCAATTCGACACTGCTGATATGCTTATCTTGCTGGACTTTTTCAAGAATTTCATCAGCTTTTTCAGTGATTGGATGACCAGAGCGTGACTCATCTTTCACATCAAAATTACCAGAACGAAAGTGAGCGAACCATTTCCGCGCAGCACATTTTGATAAAGTACCTTCACCGTACACAGCACACATTTTTTCACAAGCCTGCGCTGCGTTCTTCCCTTTGTCGTAATAATATTGCAAAATAAAGCGCAATTTTTCATTACCTTTCTCCATTTTCAAACGCAAACAACTTTCCAACCACTGCACCAATTTCGATGTTTATACACTCAAAGTAACATTCGAAGTGTCACCTTTCCAACGAGCGTTTAATGGTGTCGCTGCAATCTGTATTTCCTGAGTTATTTGCAATTGACGCCATCTATCGGGAAAAACGCCACGGACTTTTTCCCAGACCCAATATAATCATAGATGAAATAGGATACATTGGAACATGCGGTCTTTATGAGCTAATATTCAAAAGAATTCCCGACGATTCTGTGTACACCGAAGCTGATATGCAAAAAGTATGCTATTGGCGACGAATACTCACAGACGCGGGTACCTCCTGCAAAATCCTATACTCGGTAACAAGGGACACAAATATGAACATATAATCGCGCCCCTAGTATCACATGCGTCGAGCAATAAAGTAGGAGGAAAAGTTTTATACGCATCGCAAGCTATAATGACCTTAAATGACAGCAACATCGATTACGTACTTTGGGATGATCCCAACGAGCTGGTCGATCGTCTGCGATTGCTTGACGCTTCGCGCCAAGCTGGCAACAACTCGCACAAGCACGAAATTTTATGATTATCGAAGAACTCCGAGAAGCTGGTCTCATTATAAATTAAGCAACGTGGCATTGACACGAGTCTGTTAGTCGGTACAACTTGCTTTGAAATGTCGATGAATAAGTTTCGCGTGTCGCGAGAGAGCAATGGTGCGAAAACTGATCGAGCGCATCAATGGAATGAACACGTTGAAAATTACATACACGAAAATGTCCTTTGTTTAAACGCTGCCAAAGTTTTTGACGTAAAGTCGCGCAAGATAAAACATGTAGCGCAACCTAAATTCAATAGTGACGTTACAACCAAACGACACGTGGAAGAATGTGTTGCAGGTGTGAGAAATCATTTGAACAACGTCGTAACCAAACGATACGTACATGAAAATGCCCTTTGTCTAACCGCCGATGATAAAGGTTTTGACGCAACGCTGCACGCGATATCATGTACCGTGGCCGAAAACCTTCATTGAGGTTGCGCATATAAATTATGTGGATGAGTATAACGTCTATAGAACTTCTACTGCATGAGAATAACGTTGAGAAGAAGCAGTATATAGTTGAGAATATAAATTCTATAAAGCTTCTGCATGTGAGTAACGTTAAGACGAAGCAGTATGTAGATGAGAATGTTAAAAAATTGAAGGATTAGCCGGAAGACTACCGGAACAAAAACATACAGAGCATAAATAGCATTCATGAGAACATAGAACGAATTTTAGACTGGACAGGTTCAGAGATAAAGAAATCGCGAAAGATATAAAAGTAGAATACAGTATTACAGTTAAATTGACATATAGTATCGACATAAGCAGAAAATGGATGATCATGAGCTGCAATGGTGAAGCAATCGTCAAAATTTAACAAGAAGAAAAGTCCAGGGAAGCAACTCATCGATACTATTTTAGTTGTTCCTGCCGGTGTAAAGCGACAAAGCCTCACGCATGATGGGAAAACGACTCGACGAGTAACGAGGAAAAATGATGAGAAGAAACATTCCGAAAAATATTGGATGAGTGCAAAAGTTCGTGCGGAGTTTCAATAGATGGAGTTATAAGCGTCGTAAAGTGTTGTCATTAATACTTCCATCTACATATTATATAACGTTGGAGAGGTGACGTCTTCAGCTGTTATTAAAAAGAAATCATTTGTTTTCATACAAACTGCTTCGAGAAATATCACTTTAAAAATGAGTATCGATAAGGTGCATTTACGGCATGTTATGCTTTACGAGTTTCGGAAGGGAATAAACGTTGCCGCAGCCGTAAAAAACATTCAGGATGTTTATCAGGATGAAGCACCACCTAAACGAACTGTGGAAAAATGGTTTGCTAAATTTCGGCGCGGAGAATTTAACCTTGAAGACGAGCCACGCTCTGGTCGACCTTCTGACATTGATGACGATGTTTTGCGTACTTTAGTGCTCAATAATCCGCGAATTTCAACAGAAGAAGTTGCTACAGCACTAAACGTTGACCGATCAACCGCTTTTCGGCGTTTAAAAAAGATGGGATTCGATTTGAAGCTCGATATATGGGTGCCCCATTTGCTGACCGAGAAGAACAAAATCAAGCGAATTTCTGCAGCCGTTTCTTTACTCGGGCGGCTCAATAACGAGTCGTTTTTGGATCGACTAGTGACGGGCGATGAGAAATGGGTCCTCTACAACAATGTTCAGCGCAAACGGACATGGAAACAATCAGGTGAGCATGGTGACGCAATACCAAAGGCCAGTTTGCACCCGATGAAGGTGATGCTCTCTGTTTGGTGGGATTGCAAGGGCATAATCTATTTCGAGCTTCTCCCCACTGGCGAAACGATTGATTCGGACAAGTACTGTCGCCAATTAACCAATCTGAATCGAGAAATAAAAGAGAAACGTCCGATTTTGTCAAATCGCAAGGGAGTCATCTTTCATCACGACAACGCCAGACCACACGTTTCGAAAAAGACGCTGCGCAAACTGAAGAGCCTGAAATGGGATGTCTTAACGCATCCACCGTATTCTCCTGATATCGCACCATCTGACTATCACTTGTTCCGGTCATTGCAAAATTATTTAAATGGAAAAAACTTTGACTCTTTGGAGGCCTTAAAATACGGCGTCTCTTCGTTCTTCGAATCTAAACCGCGCAGTTTTTATGATCGAGGCATCCGTATGCTGCCAAAACGTTGGGAAAAGATTATAGAAAACGATGGAGAATATATCATTGATTGAATAAAGATTTTTGTTTGCCTAATCACTGTGTGACTTTTACTCACAAACTCCGCACGAACTTTTGCACTCACCCAATAACAACTAGTGAAAGAATTACACGCTCCAGCGAGACGAAATTTTTCTCGTAGACGCATCATAGTGCGTGGATACGGTAATCTTTGGAACGCCGATGTGGTGGAAATGCGTCCTTATTCGCGATTCAATGGAGGCCACCACTACATACTCACCATTATCGATGTACTGAGCAAGCATGGGCTGTACCGTTAAAGAGCAAAAGCGGAAAGGAGGTAAGGTAAAGATAGAGTCCCTATAAGGAGCCTGGCCAAGTACGTTGTGTACTTTTCATTGGTCGAAACAAAGTTTGTAAAAACATGGCGGCACCAATAAAAAGTGTTGCGGGAAGCAGGATAAGTATGAAACTGAAGGAAATAAGATACTTGCGCCAAATATGTATTTCTCGATTTCATACAATATAAAATTCAACAAAACAAAACAAAACACATACATTGTACATAAACATATTAACAGTTTATATCATTAAGTAACAACAGAATGCATAGCCATTGTTTTACTGTTATATGTTGGTTTTACCAGTCGGTCTTTTAGACACGCAATTTTCATCCGAAATGCAATAAAGCGTTTCATAATTTTCACATTTAATTTATGACAATTTTTCAGGCTTACACAAGAAATATGTTTCATTTTTTCCATAAAAAAGGTAATTAAATTACATTTAGAATTGCTTACATAAGAAAGATATTGTCTAATTATAAATTCCATGTCCATAAAATATTCAAAAACATCTTGGGTTACAAAAAATAATGTGTTATTCCGGTAACATTTGAGATGAACAAAGTTTGCATATTTAACATTTGCGTTATATTTAGTTGAACCTGCCGAATTTAAACAAGTTGTGCATATTGCACTTTTGCCTTTAGCAATACTATGAACTATATATCCAGCTACATTATACAATACGTTTAACTCTATGTTATTAAAATAGATATTGTTTGCAATACTGTCAACAGAGATAGTCGGGAACTGTTCCACCTTTTCTGTTTTCGGTTTATTGAAGAAATTGCATAGAAATTCTCTGTCATCTTGGTCATAACTTGAATATTTGGATGGCCTAATATAGCGAGATATGCAAAGTTCTTTCAAGTCTTGCTTAAATTGTACAGTATTGGGTATTTCATGTTTTGCTCTTATTACAGAAAATAAATTTTCTACACAATCCTGTGTAAACCGGCTTGTTAAAACATACATATAACTTTTAACATTAATCAGATATTTTGTTAACTCAATAGCAGATTTAGTAGTCATCATGATACCACATTGAACGGGTTTAAATTTGTGAGTGTGACCTATTCCAATATTTTTGAAAAGTTCTATAACTGATTCAAGAAACTCAATACTTTGATTATATGTATTTTCACTCTTTTCATTACCTGGCGTTATACCCAATGCTACTCGTCGAGACAGTGACGTTACGAGTGTAAACCATTTGGAAACAACTTCTATAAATGATGCAGTCGTCTTATATTCTATTTTATATAGTTCTTCAGCTAGAAAAGTTAGTGCACTACTAACATTTGTACTCATGACATTTTTCGCCTTACTAACTTTCATTTTGTTAAATTTACCCAGAGTAATATCATTGTGTTGAAGTTTAGGAGTTAGTTTAAGACATAAATTTTCTTGTATTGCAACTAATTCGCTCAAATGCTTACATTCTATTGTAGAAGACGATAATTTATGTGCATGGACAAATGTCTGTGGTAATTCTATTATTTTATTATTTTCTAGACACGATCTAAAATTTTTTTAAGAGATGTGGTGCATCAGCGAAAAAATACAAGTTTCGTTGGTTGTCTATAGGATGAGGTATGGAATTTTTAATTACAGACAACTTTCCACTTGAAATGTCAAATGCTTTCCACATAGCTTGATTCACTGATCCCATGTCGGAAGTTATACTATGGACATATATACCAATGAATTCAGCTTTTCTAATAACTGTTTCGACTATAGGTTTTAAATTAGCACCATTAAATCTATTAGGTGTATAATAGTATGCAACAACTTGCTTCCATCGAGAAAAAATACCAGCAAGCATAATAACTAACGCATGCGATGCTTTTTGTATTTGTCCTGTAAGAAGAAGATTATTATGCAAATTCAAAATACAATTGTGCATTTTTTATATGTCTACAAAGAAAAAGGAACTGAGAATTGCATATGGATTTCTAAGAAAGAAAGGTACCAGAACTCACAAGGGACATTCGACAACGCGGAAATTCAAAAAAATCTGAAACTCTGCATAATTGTAGAGCAGATATACCTAATAACAAAACAATTTTTCGTTGGTGCCCAAAAACGGTTTTAAGGGTGGAAACAACCCCTTGAACAAAGTTGATTTTTGTCTTTCTAAGCGAATATTATCGAAACTATTAAAGATATGAAAAAATGTTTTAGACAAAAGTTTTATGGTTTTAAAAGTACTTTATTATGCTATATTTAGATTTTTTAAAAATGTAAAATTGTGTATAAAATACCCCCCCTCCTTCTCTTTTTTCAAATTGTTAAAATCAATTGTCTAACCAAAATAAAGCTTATTTTATGACAAATTCAACCATATATAATAACATTATGTTTGGAAAAGGCAATATTGAAAAAAAAATTAAAAATGCTCTTATATATATGCTACGCGTACCAAACTTATGGGTTCGCTGCTTGACGATGGCATTTCTTTCTCCCTCATAATTACTGACTGTAAAAGGTAAGGAAGGAATAAAAACAGGTAATCTAAGAAAAGAATAAAGTTGATGTTAAGAAGTAAGTTGAAGAAGAACAGCATGATAAGGAGGACGCAGAGAGAGTGTATATAACCCTAATATAGATAATCTTTTAAATTCAATTGTAAAGAACAAATAAGGAAATGAATGATATGAAGAAAAAAGGAGAACACACACGGATTTAATAATGAAAAATATAATTTATAAATTTATTCAGTGTACATTTGTGTGTATGTGTTTTGCTTCATTCAGTATATAGGTTTTATTAATTAAGTAGTCGATATAGATATTCGAGTGAAAGATATCTTATATTTTGGTATGGATTATAATATATACAAATTTTACAGGAATTGAGGACAGTAAAATATTATTTATTCTATATAATTATTACAATAATGATATTGCTCAAAGAAATGTTCAAAACAAAAATATTGCTTGCACCATGCACAACGTATAAAAGCCATTTTACACAAATGCTACATTTTGGTATACGTTTTTCTTCTTTAAAATAACAATAATCGATTGGATTATGAAATTTTTCAGGCCGTGTTGATAAATAACCACTTTTATACCAGCTATATCTAAATAAATTTCGAAATCTTGGAGAAGACAGTTGATTGTGTGTTAAAGATTGCAATTTTATTATGTTATTACGTAAATGTAAATTTATGTCATAATTATTTATAATAACACTATCAGAAAAGCTTCGAACAAAATTTTTCCAGATTCTGAAACCAAAAACATCTAATGGCTGTATAAAAGCAGTTGTTTTTTTGGTATTGTTAGAATATTTACATGTTTGTCTTTTGGTACAAGTTCTTCCAATTGGTTCGGGCAATGTCCTGTCCATGAATCAAACAGTAGTATACTTTTCTCTCCAGTGTTTGGTAGATACACTTCTTGGAACCAATTTTTGAAATGTTCAGTTGTCAATTTCCCTGATTTTGAAGCCGCAATGTAAATATTCACTGGTCTAAAAAGAGTTTGTTCTACTTGTGGTCCAAAAACACCAGTAGATTCTTTTAATACTATATACAAAGGCGAAAGGAGATGTCCATCTGCAGATATAATAGGCATAATGGTGTAGTTATGAGTCATAGCAGATAAAGATTGGATAGTAGCTCCAACTGTCTTCACTCCTACATTAGCTAATGTTCTTCCTGCATGTATTTCTAAATTAAAGCCACTTTCGTCCGCATTATAAGTTGATTCAGCACCGATTACATTAATATGTGGCTTTACTGTATTTACAAATTCCTCAGCGTTTTGACGTATAGTTAGATCAGTTAAATGAGAAGACCGCGTTTTAAATACAGTTATTTTACGTGATGTAATACGATGTGCCTTTTTAAAATTCCATATCCACCAATTTCCTGCTTTAAATGAAGAAAAATCCACTTGTTCCTTTGCTTCTAGTGCCCATTTTCGCAGATTTATATCATGAATAATAAGTCCTCTATTAACAGCTTCTTGGAATTTTATAAGAACGTATTCAGCAATAACTACAAGTTTGTCTGTATTTGAACCCCCACGCATTACATGTTCTTGCCATCTGTGCAATTGTTGAATAGATTTTACCTAGAAGAAAACAAATCTCAATATTAAACAATTCGAATTCAAAAATAAAAGAAGTTATATACGAATTAAATGTTCACGAAACATCAAATTGTAAAACTTAAAATAAAAAACAACGCGACTCTAACTATATAATTTACAGCTTTGGTCATAAGTATAAAGCATCTCTAACTCATTGTATTTTCCTAGAAATCAATGCATATACTCATAGTAAATATATAATCTCTTTACAATAAATATTATATTAATATTTTATAATATAATGTGTATATTATATTTATGTATATTATATTTATATTATAATTTATATTATATTAATATTATATTATATTACAATAAATATTGTAAAATAAATATTATTTTCCACATATTCTTATATTATATTTTTTTATTATATTATTTTTCCATATACTCGTATACTATATTATGTTCTCCATATATTCATATAGTATGTTTTTGTTACACAATTTAAATAAATTTTTTGGGATGCTTTATACTTATAGTCAAAGCTGTATGTACAATGACCGACAATGATGCGTTCCGCGAGAGGGGAAATAGAGTTCTCTCTGTCGCGGAACGAATCACTGCCGGTCACTGTACACCGTAAAAGCCTCAAGTATTTTACTATATATTATTCTTCTTATTTTTTAATTAAACTTTACTTTTCTAAAACGATGTTGTACAGAAGTAAGAGATAAATGTCCTTTCTTTCCACTCTTCCAAAATTCGATTGCCTTTTTCTTATAATTTAAGTTTACATTTCCACCTTCATCATCCACAGTGCAAACTTCATTTCCATAATTATCTTCTTCAGCATCAATATCGTACACATCTACAAATTGTACGTCATGCGGTTCTGATGGATCGTCAAAATCAAGTCCCCACTCATGTTCGATCGTAATATCGTGATGCATAGCACTCTTTATTAAATCAGTAATTGTATCATGGAGTTCCACCTCTTGATGATTAACAGGAGTTATTGCAATATTTGTGAAATGAAATGTCGCAATTAACAAATTAATAACATTAGCTGGATTTATTACTGACATTATGATACAAATCTTAAGGATATTTTAATTAAACATTTCTCACAGCAATAATAATATACGTACTGCTTCAATAACTGCTTCAATAACACTGAAATGTATTCCAAAATGGACAGCTTTTATATGCAAATGAATGAAGATAACATATGTCAATATAATGAACCTTGATTGCACTGTACTTGATAAAGAGTGCTATTTTGGTCGCACAGTCATAAAACTTGTGACAAGTGTTTTGCATGTTGCCATGATGTACATACACGTGCGCACGTGCAAAAACACACATACACACACACACATATTTATTTATATTTACGCGTGTCGTTTAAATTAATGAAAAAGGTAGCCGCAATGTTGGCAAAATAAACGTCTATTACGTGAAATTTTATAATTTATAACATTTTTAAATATTAGTGACTGTATCCTTATCATGCTATTTTTCTCCTACTTACTTCTTAACATCAACTTTATTGCTTTTTTAGATTTTCTATTTTCTTCCTTCCTTATCTTTTACAGTTTGCAATTATGAGGAAGATTTGAGGAAGAAAGAAATGCCATCGTCAAGTAGCGAATCCTTAAGTTTGGTACGCGTAGCATACATATAAGAGCATGTTTAATTTTTTTTTCAATATTGCCTTTTCCAAACATAATGTTATTATATATGGTTGAATTTGTCATAAAATAAGCTTTATTTTGGTTGGACAATTGATTTTAACAATTTGAAAAAAGAGAAGGAGGGGGGTATTTTATACACAATTTTACATTTTAAAAAAATCTAAATATAGCATAATAAAGTACTTTTAAAACCATAAAACTTTTGTCTAAAACATTTTTTCATATCTTTAATAGTTTCGATAATATTCGCTTAAAAAGACAAAAATCAACTTTGTTCAAGGGGTTATTTCCAACCCAAAAACCGTTTTTGGGCACTAACGAAAAATTGTTTTGTTATTAAGTATATCTGCTCTACAATTATGCAGAGTTTCAGATTTTTTTGAATTTCCGCGTTGCCGAATGTCCCTTGTCAGTCATACTAGCATCGCCAATATGTGAAAGAGTGGAAGGATCAAACTGTTTTCCAGGTACTAAACTCATTTCATCAATAGCAATCATAGCGTCTTTTTCTCGATCATCTTTGAATAGAGATATTTGCTTCTTTAAAATATCAAATACGTCCTCTAATATTCCTTCTTCAAAATTAACTCCTTCTTTCTTCCTTCGTAAAGTTCGCTCTGATGGCAAAGGGTGCTGTTGAGCTAATAATGCCTTATACCCATTGCTGCCACACGAAAACTTTAGTTATAATGTCTTAAGAATTGTATTATTAGACCATTTTGAGGCACGTGAATGTTTACCAAGAAGAAGCTGTATTTGATCGTCGTTAAACATTCGTTTTAATTTTGTCTTTAGATTATCTTGAGCAAGTTTCTTTTTTTCATCTGTTAATCGTCTCACATGTCTTTTTAACAGTTGCCTTGATTTTTCCAGCCTATTAATAATTATGTTTGCCTGCTCTAATTTCGATGTAGCCTCTTTTGCTGTCAATTCAGCATCTTGAAGTCTTTATTACAAAATATCAAACTCACTTTTTGTATATGTTGCGGGTGGCACTGATACATCTTCAAATGATTGATCTGCTGGAGTGACACATGTTATAGGGTTATCTTCAGATGAGTTTGATACTTGCATAGGAAGATCTGAGCTGGTCGAGTTATAAACCGCGTCACATTCATTATCTATCTTCGGAGATGCCCTGGCATTTGCAACATGTGTATCTACCTTCAAGTAGAAATTTCATTAGTGATTTATACAAGTAAATATTTGATTTTAAGATAATAGGCGATACAAAATATACTTACATTGCACGCAGGTATATTATTAAAAATTGTTGGCACCGCGTTGTACTTCAGTTTGCGCTTCCCATCCATGCGAGGTTTTTCCCACATGTCATCAGCAAAATGTGCCTATACATAAATGGAACAAGAATTATTTGTTTCTAATAGGAATATTTTATAACAAATAGTATTTTCTCATAAGAAATAAGATAACTTACCTCACATATAAACCATTTTTTCGCACAATTCCAATCTTGTTTGCCGATATTTGCAATCCATATTGCTCTTCTGCTAGGTTCTGCGGGAAGGGAGTACATAGAAAAACCTTTCTGATAATAATTTTTACATTCTGGGACGCAACAGGATGGCATGTTGAAATCTGCAAATTCATATTTTATAGTATTATTTAACAAGATTCTTTTTCAGAGGTCCTGCTAAAATGTTAGGTTACAATGACCATTGTTTTAACCACTTTATTTTCTATATTTATATTTTTTACTATTATTTTGCTTTATTTTTAAATTATTGAATAATTGTACTTTATTGCTTACTTGCTTACTTTTAGTATCAATTTGCTGGCAAACAACGTACTGCACCACGATACACATAAACAGCACATATTTACACCACCGTCGCCATGTTTTTACAAAACTAGACTCATTGGCCAGACTCTACTACATGGGCTGAAAAGTCTTTGGCTTAACAATGAAAAAACGATTTTTTTAATGAAAAAAGTGTTTTATTCCTCGACATAATCTCCATTTAGAGTAATGCACTTAGTGTAACGGTCCGCTAACATTTCGATGCCGGTCTTATAGTGCTCGGTGTCAAGTCCCTCAAAATAGGCATTTGTTTCCAACTTGACCTCCTCATTCGAGTAAAATCTTTTACCAGCGAGCCACTGCTTCAGTCGGGGAAAAAGGAAATAGTCGCTGGGGGCCAGGTCTGGAGAATACGGAGGATGCGAGATGCAATTCATAGCGCAATTTCTTTAATTTATCGGTCATATCGCGAGCCGAGTGAGCTAGAGCATTGTCTTGGTGAAACAAAATTTTTTTCTTTGCCAAATGTGGCCGTTTGACCTTGACCTCGTCGTCCAATCGATCCAGTAATGTACAGTAATATTCTTTATTGATAGTTTTACCATGTTCAAGATAATCAATGAATATTATGTTATGCGCATCCCAAAAAATACTGGCCAAAACTTTGCCGGCTGATTGTTGTGTCTTCGGGCGCTTCGGACGGCTTTCACCAGGCAATAACCACTCCGCTGACTGCCGATTGGACTCCGGTGTGTAGTGATGGATCCATGTTTCATCTATTGTGACAAATCGACGCAAAAACTCCTTCTTATTGCGGTTAAACAGGGCCAGATTTTGCTTTGAAAGTCGAACACGTTCCGCTTTTTGCTCAATTGTCAAAAAACGCGGCACCCAACGCGCGCAAAGCTTTTTCATGTGTAAATATTCATGAATGATATGACCAACGCGTTCCTTTGAGATGCCTATGATGTTAACTAGCTCACTCAATTTCATTTTGCGGTCATTCAACACGATTTCACTGATTTTCTGGATGTTTTCTGGAGTAACTGCCTCATTTGGCCTTCCTGAATGTGGTGCATCATTTGTGCTCGTACGGTTACGACGAAACTCAGCAAACCAATATTTGATGGTTGAATTCGGTGGGGCAGATGTGCCGTAATATTTATCAAGCCTTTGCTTCAACAGTGTTTTTTCCCATCAGGAAGTAACGTTTAATCAAAACACGAAATTCACTTTTTTCCATAGTAAAGATAAATTCAGAGGTAACGTCACTTCGAAAGCTATAACTTGTACACGAGTCAACGAAATATCATGAAATTTTTACAGCATCTAAGTTAAGGTTGGTACTCTATAGGAAATATAAGGATTTTTAGTTTGTGGCGCCATCTATATGTCAGGCCAAATACTTTTCAGCCCATGTAGTACCTTATAGGGACTCTAGTATATACCTCAGATATCCAATTTTATTACAGGCGAGGTATTAAGTTCCTGTATAAGATAATGTCTCTTGATAAATATTGGAAACGTGTTAATATATTATAAGCGTATAAATTATTATATATACAGAGTGATTCAGACCACTCGTATAGCCCTTTTATTTCGGAAACAGAACATTTTAGAGATAAGTATTTCAGACAAAAGTTGTAGGGCTTCAAAGGATCTATTTACTGACGTTATGAATTTAACCTTGGTCTTAAATGGATATCCTAATTTTTTATTATATCGTCTTTTTCTTAATTAAAGCAATTAATTTGAACAACTTTGTCTGAAACATTTTTTAATTTTATTTAAGGAAAATTTAATAACTTTTCAATATTTAACTCACGATATCTCGCTAACTATTTGTCAGAAGAAAAAGTACTAGAATTTTTTGCTCTATTTAATCTCAAGAATATATTGTTACAATAGCGCTTGATTTTGTTTGCTGATTTTTTGAAATTTCAAAATCATCAAATGAACCAAATTCATGGCGCTATTGGAACAATATATTCTTGAGACTAAATAGAGGAAAAAAATCTAGTACCATTTTTTCTTCTGACAAATAATTAGCGAAATATCGTGAGTTAAATATTGAAAAAGTTATTCAGTTTTCCTTAAATATGTCACAAAATATTAGTTAAATAAAATATTGTTTCAGACAAAAGTTGTTTAAATTAATTGGAAAAGACGTTGTAATAAAAAATTCGGGTATCCATTTATATTATAATGTACTTAACATAACTTTTTACAAGTAAAAATGATATAAAAATTTAACACGTATATTAGTAGTGTCCAATACTTCATTTATCATTACTTATTACAACACTGAGTTATATGATTGTTTTACTTGTTATTATAATGTACTTAACATAACTTTTTACAAGTAAAAATGATTACATGTAAAATTTATTATAATAACCTTTTTAAACAAAAAGGTAAAAAAGACGCCAAGTACAAGCGCAACACGTATTGTGCTATTTTTAGAAATTTCAAATTCAAATTATTTTTTTTTAAATATGTATGTGTACATAACATAAGTTTTTAAAAGTAAAACTTATACTAAAAAAGTGATACATTAAAACAGTAACGCTAACTGAGAAATCGTATACTTAATATTTTTAGAAATCTCAAATTCAAATTATTTCCTTTTTTTAAGATATATATTATGTACATAATAAGTTTTTACAAATGATATCATGTTACAACAATTTTACACGTTTATTAGTAGTGTCCAATATTTAATTTATCATTATTTATTATAACACTGAGTTATATGATTGTTTTACTTGTTATTATAATGTACTTAACATTACTTTCTACAAGTAAAAATGATATCGTGTTATAAAATTTTAACACGTTTATTAATAGTGTTCAATATTTAAGAAAGATATCTTTTTAAAGGTTATTATTACAAATTCAAATTATTTTTTTTAAGTATATATGTGTACATAACATAAGTTTTTACAAGTAAAACTTATACAAAATAAGTGATATATTAAAACAGTAACGCCAACTGAGAAATTATATACCCAATGAGCAAAATGAGTGCAAATTGAGCGCAAATTGGCAGCAAATTCGATCAAAACTTGATGCCAAAACCATATGCAACTGTGTCCTTTTTAGGATTGTGTTTTGACGTCAAGGCTTGATGCGGGGCAACTTGCAGTAAATTTGCAGCAAAAACCGCGCAAGTTTTGGAGCGCATAACTTAGCATCAAATAGGCATCAAACACCGAGCAACACTTGCGCACAAGACACGAGAGCAAATTGGCAGCAAATCCGCAGCAAGCCTTGCACTCAATCAGCTGATCAAGATGGCGGCGATGTGCGTTGGGTTTTAAATGGTTCCTAACCTGCATATTACTAAATTTTAATTGCAATTTTGCATTTGAAAAGGAAAAGTGTATACAGAAATAAATATTTGACAAAACAGACTGTGTAATTTATTATATAAACATATATACATATAACATCAAGAATTATCGCTATATACATATATGCGCGATATTAAAAGAAATTAAAAACGTATTGAGAGCATGAAGTACGCCCTGATCAGCAATGCCAAATTCCACCGGTGTACTCTGTGAGCAGCGGCGAGTTCTCGTGGTATAGGCAGCATGGGATCGACGTTCAACGAGACATTATTCACCTTCTTCTCGACCTGGTTCTCCATTTGCCCTCTACAAACAGCAAAAATATTTAGCCAAGAGAAGTGATTATTCATTGTATTTCATTAGTAATAATATTGCTTATCATTAGCAGAAACATATATTCTAACAACTTTTTTTTTTTTAACGAAGTATGGAAATCCTCATGGACACCCAAGGTTATGCAGAGCCTGGATGTGTCGGATTCGTACCGGCTAAAACCACACTCCGGTGCAATTAGGCCATTGTGGAAGATCCCGGAATTGTCAAGAAGAGACACATCGAGATCGTCCACAGCCCGTATAATTACTGAGAAAAAAAGGCTACAAACTGCATTCTGTATTGGCCAGCTTGCTGCGGGAGCTTCTAGGATGAAGAGAGGCGTCTCGCGAGGATGATGCGCGCAAGAGTTTCGGTGAGTGCAGATGCACTTCCGGATCCTCCCCCACATCATCCGAAACCAAAAAGAACCTATGAAAAAAATATGGGCATTAGTTAATTAGCTAGTACTCAGAAAATAAAAACAAAGGAAGTAACCTGTGCAACAACAGAAAATAAAATAAAAATACAATGGTAAAATAAAATATTGCACAGAAAATTGAGTACCTACATAAAAACATTAGTAGTAATATGAAAATAAAATAAAGACACTTATCAAAATATCTTCAATTCGCCTACGCACGCGTTCAGAGTCGGGCCGCTTCTCCTCTATTTCCTGGCTTCTATCTGGGCTTCACTTTCATACTAGACAAAACAGATTAGGAAACATTAGAAACAAGTTGATGCATATTGCCAGCAAACACTATGTTTATATGTAACGTACATGTTAGTTGTAATTTTCTATTCAACAATGTAACTATTATATAAGACACGTGTTATATAACAGTTACATTGTAGAGTAGAAAATTACAACTAACATGTACGTTATATGTAACATTGTTTGCCGCATAGTTGCTACAATGGAAACTTTCAACTTACATTTTATATTCTTAGGTGCTCGGTTCCTCCATGTTGTCCTCTTCCTCTTCCTCATCGTTCCACAAGTTATCCTCCGCCCTCTTCCTTGCGGCTGTTGGACGTGGACCACGCATCGTTGGCGTGTCTCTCCTTCGTTATCCGAAGAGCCTCCCTCATTTGCTTCTGGAACTCGGATCTCAGGGGCCTGTCAAAATGACGATTCCTACAAATTGCATCTAGAAAACAGGCGCAAAGCGTATGGAAAATAAGTATACCATTACAGTAAGTTGTTTTTCACAAACTGAATGAAATATGGTATCATTAATAGATAAAAATTCTTTACCATATATGGCTCGTGCCAATCGAGTGTCATATAATGCTCGGCGTCTTTCTCGCGGCCGAACCACGTAAACGTGTTATTAGGGCGTCGGACACTGCTTCCTTGAGACACAACTGTGTAGCTTCCTTGAGGTTGAAGCCACCAACGTAATGTAAATAAGTTACCTGGAAAAAGTGACATTTTAATATAATGTAACCAATTCCTTCTTACAGCAATTCTGCTGCGAAAAGTTGTAATCTTACTTACCGCTTCCGAATAACGTTATTCATCCTCGTTTTCAAAAGCATCCATTTCTTCCATTGTTGTAATGGGTAGTCTATGCGGCTTTGCTGGTGCACAATGGCGCTCTTGGACACATTTGAGAATTTTCTGCTGTGTTGTTTCAATTCTCCTGCAAGCAACAATATGAAAAATTGTCAGAATATTTAACATTACGCATTATACAATATATGCAATACGTACTTCATTATCGCTTCTATGTTGCTAATTTTTCTTCCACTGCGCTTATTCGTTCCTCTAGCTTGCTACAATTATACATAAATATTAATGAGTACATCCTATCTACACTGGTAAATTTTCTGCCATTCATTTAGATCAATGAGAGAAGATTCCTATTTGTATTATACCTTGTATTGGTACTTTCCTTTTGCACGATACTTTCCTTCTGCACGGCGGCGGTCCTCTGTGTATAATTCGTTTCTAGTCCTTGATGTTCACGTTGTTGTTGGGTTTTTTCTCCTTGGATGATATTCTGTAACTCACATAAAGTGTTATTAGTATAATATGGTATATCACATTCTAAACGTTGTGTAAAACTTTGTGCCCTACTGAGTGGTTGTAGGTATGGAGGATATTCTAAATGTGTGTATGTCTGTGCATGTGTTGTATATTCTGAATGTGATTGTGTATGTGCAGAATAATGTAAATTTGTATGTCTATGCGTATGTGAGGTGTTATTGTTTTGTGCTTGTGTCTGTGTGTGTGAGATATATGTGCCAGAGTCTGTGTTAGTAAATGTTTGTGTTGATGTAGGGTGTTGTAGGGAGTTAGAAAGTACTAATTTTCTTTTTCAATAATCCTGCTGATGTCATTGATGTCATCCTCCACTGTTCCTGGTGTGCATGATGTCGCTGTCCTCCCTTTTCGCTTTGGTGGTTCCTCTTCAGATGATGTAGTTAGATACCGTGCTGGTTTGGTGACGTGCCGCTTCTGTCGATCCATCTGTGTATGTAAATATATCAATTATGACATATTTTGTATACTATGCAAACATATTAACATGCTCTAACACTTAACATTAGACAATGTAATCTCTATACTTTATTCTCTAAAGCAGATATGTGTTTGAGTGTGTGTGCCATGTTGTAAAGAAACAGTCAAATGTCTATCTTATTCTACAGTTATTATCTAGAAGTTATCTAGAAGTCACTAAAAATTTCACATAAACAGTTTATCATATACAACACATTTCTAAATATATTAATATATTCATGAGTCAATTTGGTATATTGTCACATTAATATGTTGTTCCTGATTTAATATTACTCATAACGATTGTACTAGTTTGCTGAGAAGACTTATTAATAAAAATATTCTGGGGTACTTCTTAACTTATGTGTATACACACACACATACACAAAACATATGCATTTGTTTCATTAATATTTATTTCCAAGCGCAGGTGCCACATGTGCTTTATTCGTAACTGTAGAACAAGATAGATATATGATTGTCTCTTTGCGAGATGGCACACAATCACATACATTTATGTTTCTGAGAATAAAGTATAGAGATTTGGGTAGCGATCATGAATTTTTTCCTAAAGCATGAACTTGGAGAAAGTGATAAGTTGTACATTAACTTTCTTAGACAGCACAGAATACTAAAAGATATCTTAAAGATGTGCAAAAGACATAAACAAAAGATATAATGTGTTTTGCATGTCTTTAAGATATTTAGTTCATAATTTGTATTGTCTAATCATTATGATGTAACCAAGCGAAACGTAGAAATATCAACTTTTCCTTAACTTTTCACGTGAATTTTTCAAGCATCAAGCTCGATCGCGAAAATCGTGCATAGTTGATAAAAACTTAACATTTTGCCTTAGGTCACGCTTTAGGAAAAGATTCATAATCGCTACCTATATTGCGTTAACGTTAAGTGTGACTAACAGTAAAGTAATTAAGTAAACAGTAAAGTAAGTAAGAGAAATTCGCGTGAAATCAGTATGTGAAATTCACGTTTAATTGATATAGGTCACGTTAAATCTATGCAGATTCACCGTGGGATTCATGTATTTTCCGTCCGAATATTATTAATATGTGCGTACCTGTATCCCGTATAATAGACTTCGATTAAAATGGGAAGAAATCGTCGTATCAACGTAAACAGTAATTCTTCTTTACACACTCTTAACGTGCTCGGCTTCACTGTATTCACTCCCTAACTGTCAAACTTGGAATGATTGTAACGTTCAACATGTAACACGTGGGTTACTCAATATCCAATTAGGAGTGTTGCAAGATGGCGTAACCAATCAAAAATCTCTCCGTTCCTCCAAACTACACGACTGGTGATGCCGTGTTCAAGTACTACCACATTATGGCCGTATCACACTAGCGACTCGCGGCTGTGACTGCGATTGCGATTTCTTGTTTTCCAATCACACTTGCGATTGGCGATCGCAGCTGCGGCTAAATATTGTTAACATACCGTCACACGTACAATCCCAGAGAAGGGTTTACATTCTACGAGACCTATTAAATAATAGTCTATCTCCTTATTAAATTGTTTTGACATTAAGAAAATATATATGACATATAAAATAACACTGGATATAACCTTATTCTAATAATCACCGACTTCTACATACTGTTGCGCCCGTGCTTTTGCGAAAGTATCGAGGTGTGTTCACATTGCTATGATCGAGAGTCCCTAGCAACGAAAAATAACAATAGCAGACAGAGAGTTCTTGGGAAGCTGTCAAGATAGACAGACGCGAGATTTATCATTCGGAGAATTATTTATGCGAGAGTCTGTATAAAGCTGTAAATAGTAAAGCTTCCTTTCTTTTACACAAGTATTCTTATTTCCTCGAGTGCATGGTGTGAGTGTTGCTAGTTAAAGAGTGAGCGCAACAATTTGGGGGCTCGTCCGGGATAAAAGTGAATCGTTTAACATCCGACGTAAAAGAGAGAAAGGAGAGGATGACGCATTCGCCGAGGGTAATCCGAAGCCAGCTTCGATGGTGGCGTCAAGCTTGATAACGGCGGAAATGGATCAGAGAGTTGAGACGGATGCGGAGGCTGTTCGGCGGCTTCGGCAGGAAATGCAGCAGCTTGGTGAGGAGCGTGAACGGCAGGAACTCCTTGAATTGCGGCGTTGGCAAAGGACAGAGGAGCAGGGACAAGGAGAATCCGGCGGAAGGCAGAGCATGAAAATTCAGAGAATTAGAAAGCTAATTTTGTATTTTCATCCAAACTCATAAATATATAAGTTTATGTTAGAAAAGATACACACTCTCCTTTCGCTTTTTTTTAGGAAAGGATGTCACTGTTGGACGAATTAGTTGCAGAGGACTAGATAGAATGATTAAAGAAGACCACCTCGCTCACGGTTTTTGACCGTGGTTTTCCCGTGAGTTAATAGGCAAATACTGAGGTGGGGACCTGGGGTGTTCTCTTAAGAGAACGACGGGTCCACGGATGCTACCCCCCCTTGTCCGAAGACGAACGGCGTTCAACAGGCATCGTGAACATGGAAAAAACGTCAATCCTTCGATTTTCAAGAAAATGACTGATGGAACCTTGAAGGACGGTGTCTGTAGAGCCTGAAGCAGCAGCCAAGGCTAGGACAAGAAAACGTCTTGGTGTTCTGGAACAGCATTTTAGAAGATATTGAAGTACTGACTTCCCGCCTTCCCTTAATTGTCGGGATGACAATTTTAAAGAGGGGGGTAGTGTTGCGCCCGTGCTTTTGCGAAGTATCGAGGTATGTTCACATTGCTATGATCGAGAGTCCCTAGCAACGAAAATAACAACAGCAAACAGAGAGTTCTTGGGAAGCTGTCAAGATAGACAGACGCGAGATTTATTATTCGGAGAATTATTTATGCGAGAGTCTGTACAAAGCTATAAATAGTAAATCTTCCTTTCTTTTACACAAGTATTTTATTTCCTCGAATGCGTGGTGTGAGTGTTGCTAGTTGAAGAGTGAGCGCAACAATACTATTAAATAAGTGTGATAATGATGAGCGCGCGTCACGTGATTATACGGAGTTCTGTGATTGGTTGTGACTGCGGCTGTGGCTCGAAAGTCGCGAGTCGCAGCCGCGAATCGCTGCTTTCTGATTGGTCGAGGAAGAGTCGCAATCGCTTTCGCAGCTGCAGTCGCAGTCGCGAGTCGCTAGTGTGATACGCACTTTACACTCCCTCCACTTCAGGCGGTTTTCGCAGGAAATCAGCAGTATTGTTTGTGTACAGAAGCCCGTAGCAGGTTTTGTGTTCGATTGTGAGCTGCTTCAAGTACTCTGTGCTTATTTGCCTCGTGTTATCTGGAAGAAAAGAAAGAGAAGAAGAAAAGGGTGAATAGAGAGAGAGAACCATCACATTGTAAAATTGCTGCTTTTTTGGACTTTACATTTGGCTCCTACCTACTGCAACTAGGTTACGTAAATATGGAACATTTAAAAATATCCACTTCACGTAAAACGCTCCATAAGTTATCCATGAGACAGCGAAATAGGGTCATTTGTGACATGAGGCTTAGTTGCGCATGAAAAATTATCCTGCAACACGCATATGCAATGCCCGTGTACACTGTAATACTACATTACAACAGATACCGGGTTCATCTGTTGCAGAAAATACGTCTTCAAATAACTTTCATTTCGTTGCTAACGACATCAATACAATTAGTATGGACGTTGAGGATGATGATAGGGAATCTTGTTCTTCTTCAACTTCTTCTGATGTTTTGTACATCCTCTTCATTTCTTACCAATTTGTCTGAACCATCTTTCAGTGACAATCTGGCATCTTCTTTTGTTCAGAATAATTTAACGCACTCAAGGCAATAGCATATTATCTGTTTTAAGATCACACACTTGCTTTAGTAATTTGCCTAAAGATGTTAGAACTCTTCTAGACACACCACGGATCGTGTCATTATATCCAAAGTTGAACCAGGAGAATACATTCATTTTGATCTGGAGGTAGGCATTGTTGAAAGTCTCTCAAATTCTTCTTGTCATTCCATTAGTTCAGAATTAGAAATTGATACCAATGGATACCGATGGATGTAGTTTAGATAAATCATCTACCATTCAAATCTGGCCGATTCATGTAGATTAGTAAACATGCGAAATATCAAACCAATTGTTGTAGGAATTTATAAAGGTGCACACAAACCTAATGATCCTGTAGCTTTTTGAAAAATTAATTGCAGATGTTATAGCACTTATATCCAAGGGAGGTGTTTATTTTGTG